GAAGACTTCCTAAGTGCACTCTGATGGGAACATTTCCATGTTCAAAAGGGTACAGAGACCAATCTGTGAGCAAAATTCACCTTCCCACTGAAATTCCAAGTGGGAACCTGAGAAGGAATGAAGTGTTGAAACGCCTGCATGGCTCCAGGACTCCAATGAGTTCAGCTCTTCTGGGGGAAATTCAGAAAGGAAATATGAGGGAAACAGGACAGAACTCAGCTCAGAGATTCGCAGTTCTTATCCTTCATTTCCAAATTCTCCTGCAAGCCACGGCAGCATTTTCCAGGTCCCAGTAACTCACAAAGCACTACAAACTGAACAGTTTTTTCATTCCCTGCTGCTTCCTGGACCAATCCTGAGTGACGGCACAAAAGCTTTCAAAGCGTTACTTTAAAGCCAAAAATGCCTCGGTCAGGAACCGCAGCARACCTGGAATCAGCCGGGCAGAAGTCGCCGGGAATTCGGTGGTGTTGTTCCAATTCCGTGGTGTGGTTCCCCATCTGTTGGCAGCAGCAAGGAGCAACACCGGAGTTATTGAGGAAAACAGCTTTGGGTTCAGATGGACTCAAGGGACCCATTTGGTGTCCTGATTTCACAACTTCGGGGAAAAAAGGTGCTCTTCACMTGGGAAAAATCCCTGCCGAGCTTGGGACAGAAGCTTACAGAAATAGGAACTTGTATAAAATCCRTGTGTGTAGATTTGATGGATCACAGCCAGGATCAGGAATGCACAGGAAGCATTTTTGAATAGCTGGAGAAGGAAAAATGTTCACACCTCCATGCAATTTGCATTAGGATTCCCGAATGTCTGTGAGCCCGTGAGCACCAGGGAATAAAATAAATAACGAGGGCTCCCCAAGTGCAGTTCAGCCTTTGTGGAATTCCCTGCTGAGCTGCCCTAACCCAAACCATGGCAATKAATTCAATTGGAAAGGAGCCTCATTTAAAGCTGAGCTCTGGCTGGAGGAAGGAAAATACCTGGGCAGAGAAAAGCTCCCTGGGGAAAGTGTCCACAAACACACGAGTCTCTGCTAATCTGCTCTTACAGGAACTGCAAGGTTCTGGCACRATGTGAAAGCGCCGCTTTTGTTGATTTAGTGACGAATATTCAATCTGGAATCCCATCTCTGTGTGAGGAGCACCAAGGTATCCCTCTGCCCCGAGGGTTATCCCTGGACTATTGATTTGTTGGTTCCTTCTCTGTTAAATATTGATGTTAGGAAATTGAAACTTCCCAAAGATCTGGGCTCAGCTTCCTTGACACTGAAACAGGGTTTTAGCCTAGGAAGATTCCTGATGTATCAAAATTTAAATGGGAAATACAAAAGGAAAAAGAGGAATCTCCCCACATTTTAACATAGAAACACACGATTCTTTTAGCATGCAGAATTGTCACCATTCATTTTCTGCCCACAAACTATTCAAGCTGCAGCATCTGCCCTTTCCTGAGATTAGTAATTTTCAGAATTACCATCTAAATTATTTTTGATTCCAGTTTAGCTAAAATGTAGCTGCTGGGACTGACAGGATCAGGACTGAGAGGGGCAGCGGTGGATGCTCCTCCTCATGGCCCCGGAGCAAGGAACAGCTGCTGTTTCCCTGTGCTTAGTAAGCGTAAAGCTAATATTTGATCGGCCATTAATCACTGTTCAGGTGCCCTTTTATCTGCACTAAACTCCTTCCTGACAGGCTGTCCCACAAACCAGGCTTTGTGTGCACCCACCTTGTGAAAAGTGAAGCTGAAGCCAAATGTTCAGCCCTGGACAACTGGAGTTGTCAAAGGCACAAGTAACCTCTGCTGCTCTGTTAAGCCAAAATGTTCCTGATTTTAATTAACTTCGGTTTTATTCTGGGGTGAGGAATTTGAGGCAGGCAGTAAAACAGAAAAGTGYTGAAAGACATAGCTCTGGAACTCAGCATCACATTTTTGGTGCAGGAAAAACAAGCCTGCTTGAACAAGACTTTTCTGGCRCAATAAAATTGAGTATTGTTGCTGCTGAAAAATAAACCAGGTGATCTCTCCAATACCTGCCAGTCCAAAACAAAGATCACTTTTTAGTACAGAGCAGCAGCCCATCATCACTTKAAGAGACAGGAAGTATTTTCCATTTTTTTTTTCTATTTAATCAGATCTGTAACCATATCTGCATTTCACTTGCCCTAAACTGCATTTTTTGTGAACAGATGTATGTATGGCTGAACATACACATCCCTAAATATGATTGCTTTATCCGTTAATTTACCTGTTAATTAATGAGCAAAACCATCGGTTGACAATATCACTCCAGAGCAGCTCTTCACTCCTTCCCCAATAGGATTTGGGAACCAGAAGTCCCTTCTGAGCTATTTTAAGGTTAAAATCCTGTAGCCCTTCCAAAGCTCTGTGCAGTCCAGTGAATAAGGAGGGCTAAAGCAATCCTGTCACTTAGAACAAGGCCAGGAGGGAGGTCCCAGCTATCCCCAGAGCTTTGCCACATCTTTCTCCCGGGCTGGGGCTGGAGCGGGGAGCTCCGGTGAGTTCCAGAACCCCCGGGCCGCAGGGCAGCATCTCTCGCGGGTCCCCCCGGCCCCGGAGCTCCGCGGGGAGGCGGCGGTGGGAGCGGCCGCGCTGTGCTGGCCAGGGACCGGGCACGGAGCCGGCCTGGGCGGCCCCTCCCCTGCTCCCCGCCCGGAGAACCGGGGAAACCCGTCCGGCCGGTCTGGCGGCGGCTCCGGGGGAGCGGAGCGGAGCGGAGCGGGAGCAGGGCCGGGGGGGCGCTGGGTGAGCGGGGACCCGCGGGCACAGGTGGGACCGGGCCGGGGGCTTTGCGGGCCGGGGGCTGCCGGAGAGGGGCTGCGGGGCTGGGGGTGAGGGCTGCGGGGTGGTGGAACATCCATCACCGCCACCTCCATCACCGCCACCCCCGGCGGTGCCCGGAGCGGAGCGGAGCGGGAGCAGGGCCGGGGGGGCGCTGGGTGAGCGGGGACCCGCGGGCACAGGTGGGACCGGGCCGGGGGCTTTGCGGGCCGNCCGGGCCGGGGGCTTTGCGGGCCGGGGGCTGCCGGAGAGGGGCTGCGGGGCTGCGGGGCTGGGGGTGAGGGCTGCGGGGTGGTGGAACATCCATCACCGCCACCTCCATCACCGCCACCCCCGGCGGTGCCGCGCTCGGTGCGGGCCGGGGGTCGGGACAGGGCGTGCCCGACCCGCCCCGCCGCACAGGAGGGACCGGCACTGACCCCGGCAGCACCCGGAACGCCTTCCCTTCCTTTCTCTTTCCCTGTCAGAACATCACCTGCTCGCAGCGGGCAGCCCGACGCCTTGTTTTGGGGATCAGCGTCCCCTCGCTCCCACCCTGGGATGCCCGGCCGGTGATCGCGAGTTCAGCGCAGTCTCTCCAGCCTGAAGTTTAAGGAGAGCGCAGGAGTTCGCTGGGAGGTGAGGTAAGAACGGGCAGCCCGGCAGCTCGGCTGTCTCCTGTGTCCCCGACACCCCGGGCACTGACCCGCTCTCATGGCCTGGGGCTGGTTGCCCTGCTCCCGAGCTTTTTACCATATCTATAAATGATGAAAACAGCCTCTTGGGCTGCAGGCTGATTATTCTTTAGTCAGTGTTTATAAAGCCCTCAGAGCAGCAATTCTGCAGGAACAGTAATTCTGCTACAGAAAATACTAGAAAAGCTACTTGTGTGGCCAGGGACTTGGTTGGAAAACATATTTTGACCTCCAGAAAATAATCAGAATCTCGTGCTTGGTGCCTACAGCTTAAATAGCATCCCTTGCTTGSAGTTAGGATGGAGCTGAGCTAAATGCAGAGGTAATGGAGCATTTCAGCGCTGGCTCGGGTGTCAGCAGGAGYGGTTTGAAACCCAAGAGCTGAGCTGCACAGGGAGCTCTGGCAGGGAACGGTGCTGGCAATGAGTAACAGCTCAGGGTGTTTGATCTCGGGGCTCAGGGGGATCTGGGGCTGTGGAGAACCGGGGCCAGTGGGACTCGGGGTGGCACCCTGGCCCTCGAGCAGTGCCTGTATGTGTGGGGACACTGCTGCTGGACCCCCTGGATTTAACTCCCTGTAAGTGTCGGTGCTGGTCAGGCTTGCTCACAGTTTTCTGTTTGTTTGTGGCTTTTTATTTGTCTTTCTCTCCAAAGCCTAGTTCAGAAATCRAGTGGTATTTGGCCATTTTGAAGTTTTCCTTGTCAGCCTCTGCACTGGTGCTCACATTAGAGTGTGRTTGTTTTCATACCTGTCCCAGGTACCTGTTTGTCTGTGTTAGCCTGTTGCTATCATAGAGATTGTTTTGGGTAACTTCTAAACTGTGCTCACTAATTCCACCATGTGARACAGCCTGTGGATGTTCTGGACCTTTTCTTTGGAGTTTGGAATGGTGAATTCCAAAACCACTTGTATCAAAGCTATTTTAAAACGAGCTGCAATTTATTTCCCTGCTCTGTTGTCAGTGTAGCTGTCGTTTTAGGGCCGAATAATGACATCGGTGTGAAGCGCTGCCTGCTCTCAAACRTGGAGTTGGTGTTGTTTCAGATCTGAGGGGGTTTGATGTTCTTCCTCTGCTTTGTCAGGTCTCTTTTAAATGAGATGCTTTGTGCAGCTGTAATTGAATGCAGGATGTTGGCCAGGAGCTTCTGAAACSCAAGCCTGGCTCTGTCAGTGACTTACCCAATGGCCTTGGGCAAATCACTTAACCTCTCTGTTCCTGTGCTTGTCGGGGTGAAGGGCACGAATCTGATTCCAGACCGATGGTGCAGGAGCTCTGAGCTCTGCTTGGCACGTTCTGAGCTCTGTGACAGCTCTGCTTTCTGGCAAGCGTGCAGAATCCCTCAGGAACGTGTGCTGGGTTTTCCCCACGGGTACTGAAATAAACTTGAAATATGGTTTTTATTTGATGGCTGTAATTCCTTTTCAGTTAATGGTGATGGAAAGATGTGCTCTAATATCTTTACAAACAATTCAGTGGGTGAGGGTCTGTTTGAAGAGGATATTAATGTCCCTATCAGCCTCAAGCCACAAGAGCCCAGGCAGTTTGATTTGTGAACTTGGGGATCACAGACAAATGGGTCTGCTCAAAGATTCCTGCAGAAGCCAGACAGCCTGACATGTTCAAGGGRGGAATTTGTGGTGGTTTGGGAAGGATGAACCTTCCTGGTACCTCAGCTGATGGGAAAGGAAGAGGGCACCATGTGGGAGTTTGGGATAAAAGGGGGCTGTGCCTGCTGAAATCTCGAGAGAGAAAACCCCATGGGAGTGTGCCCCAGTGGACTCTCTCCCTTTGTTCCAATAAAGCAGGACTCCTCTGACTCCTTGGTGGACACTGGCTTTTCACAGTGAGATTTCTCCTCACAGTGGGCAATCAGTAAGTTCATGGGTGCTCTTCGTTACAAAACGCTGTACAATGATGCACAAGGAGGTGTAGAACAAAAAGCATGAGAAGAATAAAAAGGGGTAAGAAAAACAGGAAACAAGTCAACAAAAAAACCCATTTGCCAATATGACTTTGTCCCTAAGAGGAGGGAGAAGAGCAGCATGGAAAGGTCTAGAGAACTAACCAGAAATGCCTTTTTCTTAAGCTTTGCAAGGCAAATTAATTTAATGATTTGCCTAAAGAATATTTTTTCGAGGTGGAAGTCAGCGAGGAATCCATTTTCTACTTTGTTTCCTTGCAGATGGAAGCCAATTTAAAGCTGAACACAGAGGATTCTCCGTGAGCGGCCGGTGGCAGCATCTGTGATGCAGTCTGGGTTTCAGTCACACACTCCACTGGATAAAGGTCAGTTTAGGGAAATGGCTTCAGTGTCCACTGTAGATGCTGCCAGGAGAGTTTTATTCCTGGAATCTCCAGCCTTGGGAGCAGGAAGTGACCTTTATTTTGTCCAGTTAAAAAACACCTGCTGGTTTTGATGGTGGGGATACCTAGGAAGAGAACTCTTTATAAAGTTCCAAAAGGCTTCAATGCCAAACAATGCAGTTGAAGTGTTCACAATAACAATTCTTTTTTCCTCTAATAACCCTAAGATGGGCTGTTGTATAWCATGAACCTTGAGAGCGAGGTAACACCCTCTAAAAGGCAGATTGAAACCCCTTCAGAGTGGAACCTGCATCTTGAGCAAAGGTTACCAACCCTCTTATCTTCTGCAAAGATAGCTKGCCTTGCCTTGGACTTTAAATGATGGAGCTCTGCAGATCTGTTAATGAGAAATCCTGGGACAGATAATGGGAAAGATGATGATTTTGTTTCTGCAGTGGCTGTCTCTGGTGGTGCCACAGTGGTGTTTGTCTCCTGATGGTAATTGGGGTCTTTATGGCATCGGGGTTGGTTTCTCCCAAAGAAAGATCTGTGGGTGTTCCAAGGTTGGCTGTGCACAGCAGCAATTCAAAAGTCTCTTGGAGCTGAAATTAGTCCTTAATTCCAGTCCCCAGTTCATACAGCCTCCAGAGCAGCAGTGTGTCTGTGTTAAGGTACTGTTGTGATCTAACTAGATACACTTTGTATTTAAAAATGGTGCATGTAAAACGTGTCAAATGAGGGGTTGGGTGCCTCTCTTAGGGTGCACACAACAGCCAGTGTGCTTCAGAATAAATGGCTGAGGGAAATCAACCCCTTCAAGATATAATTTCTGGGTGTTCAATTACTGTAAAGTAGTCATTCAGGGAAGTGGCTGGAGCTGTTGTGTATGAAATAGCTCTATAAATTGATCAGCTTTTAGCATGTAATTTGCATGGCAATCTACCTGAAGCTCAGCAGTGTTTGGACTGAAGGTTATTTCCTTGGCCTTTTTGTGCTGATTCATGCTATTTTGAGTAAGTGCTGTTTTTTTCCCTGTGAATATGTCATAAAGATTAGCTGGAAGGTTTGAGTTGTTCAGAGGATCCTTCTATCTGCCTGTCCWAGCACTTGTTACCAGCAATTCCATATCTGCTTTGCACAATCAGTGATCCATCCCTTCTATTGGAAACAAATCCAGTTTATGATTTGCCTGTTTCCCTGCAGCAGATCTGGTTCCAGGAGATGAATTGCTGAATACATTTTTAATGGAGCCTTTTCAGCTCAGAGTCTCTGTTGCTGGAAAGGTGAGCAGTGTGGTACAGCWGAAGAATAATTACTGCTGTCTCTTAGGGAAAATGTGATTGGAATGATCATGCACTGCCAGCAAGTCCTTGTGGGAGCCCCACCCCAGAGGTTGATGTCAGACATGGTTTCCTAGTGCAGTTTTGGGAGTGTGTGTTCAGCCCTCCTATAAACAGGTTTTGTTTTGCAGCTCCAGTAATATGTAGTAAAGAAATAAATCTTACATGTCTGAGGATCACCCTTTGCCCTTAAGTACTTTTTTAATGCCAAGTTAAATTGGTGAAACATTTTGCTGTAGCTTTTTTTGTCCTATTTTAACTCCAGAGACCTGCAATAGTTCACAAGGGTCTCTCTGAGTTACTTTTTGTACTATTTGAGTTTGCTTTATGACTCGAAATACTGCTGTTGTTGTGCTCTGAAAGAACAGAGCGTGGCCAGGTTTGAGCAGCTGTGGAACTTGGCACTGCCAGAGTGTGTGAGGCTGTGCAGAACAGGGTGCCAAGGACAGGAACATGCAGCCTGTGGTGGCCAGCAGGTGTGTAATGCTGAGCCTTGTTGTGCTCAGAGCATAGCTCTTTATATCCATAATAACCACCAATGACAGCTTCAGTGGCATTTTAATCCTTTTGCTATACATGTCCCTTGTTCTAGATGGATCTGTTACCTTTCAGGGCCCTCTGAATGATGATCTGATTTGCAGGAAGTGACCCCAGGTTCTTGCAGCAGTGTCATGTGCAGTGTGTCTCCAGAGAAGAATTTAGAGTTTGGTTTTGGTTGTTGTTTACTGCCTTGAACCAAATGCAGTTTAATTTATCCCAAATTATCTGATGCTTGCACCGAGGCAGGAATAGACACAAGACCTGAGTGACTGAAGAACTGTGCAATTTGCCCTTTTAGTAAATAAACTGGGGCAGGTATACTCAAACCTGTGCTCAATACTGTTTTGATCCCCTTTCCTCCCCATATATCCATACTGCTGTTAGATCAGCAGGATTTCACAAGTGGGGGGCAGAGCTGGGAGCTCTCCACGCTCTGGGCAGTGTGAGCTGATGCTTCCTCTAGAGTGAAGGGGTTAATGTAAGGTTTTCTGCTGTGTGACTGATCTTAAACAGGGTGAACTGTTGTCAAATCAGAACTAGAAAATGAGGAGCATGCACCCAAGAACCAATTTTTGGAAGTGTTTTCTGAGTATTTTATGAAGTAGTATTTAACAGCTGTGTTGTCCCAACTATTTCTACAGAATAGTGACCACATCAAAAATCAGTAGTGGCCGCCTCTCTTCTTGCCATGTTTGTTCCCCTTTAGATTCTGCTGGGTGTTCCTGCACCCAGGTATTGCTGGATGTGTGCTTTCCTCTTTTCAATAGCTCTGTGCTATTGGTTCCTCCCATCTCCCCTTTCACATTGTGATCACTCCCCACCTTCCTCTGACCTTCTGACACCACCCTGCCATCCCAGAGAGTTGTTCCAGACTAGGTGTCAAGAAACTCAACTCTAAACCAATTATCAGCCTCTCACGAGAGGACTCCTTTACCTTGTGTCCCACAGCAGCTCTTGGCTCTTTCCCCACTTTGGGAATTTCTGTGCAGGCTCYCAGCCAGCCCCGGGCGTGATCCCATTGCTCCTGCAGAATGTTAATGGTGTGCCCGCAGCACTGAGCACTTGTGCTGCCTGCAGGGTAACACTTAATGAGATCTCCTCTCTTAA